CATGAGAGAAGATGAACCTGTGGCGTTTCTGATCAGGAGTCTTGGAGAAGATGAACCTGTGGCTTTTCTGATCAGGAGTCTTGGAGCCCAGCGTGGTGAAATCTTTGTTCATTCCACAAAATTCACTTTTTTCAGGACAGGTGCCCACTGAAATGTTGCCTGTCACCATGGTAAGTATTTCACCTGAAACGTGAAAACCTGTAACAGTTTGTCTCCTTCGTAGTTTTGCTCATCACAGCTCTTACGTCACCGCTCGTATCTGTTGGACCCTGAAGAGATTCGGGTTAGAATTGATCTTCAGTAACCCATGCTTGTCGTAAGAGACGGCTAACGGTGTTCAGGCTCGCTGACTTGGTAGATACATGTCATCGGTTCCCAATTGCGTAGTTCGATGCTCATGGTGTTGATCACTGGCTTGTCTGGTCCAGACTCGATTATATACAGACCGCCGTCATATAGCTGGAATGTTGATGAATGAGGCGTAAAACTAAACTCACTCACTAACTCGTATCTATTGCAGTTCATTATATCGCTGACACTATTCGGATTTCGGTTATTACATTTTACCTCACAAACTCTGGATTACCACTAGATCTAGAGATCAGAAGATGACCTGAAAGATCGTACTGGCGGACACCTGGACTCGTCATCAGCTGAATCCCGACAGATGTTGATTGCGAATGGTTACGATTGGACGTTGCTGCACAACACTTCTGATCAGTAAACCATGACCATCCCAAACACCAAGTAAATTTGAGTGTTCATTGTCAAGAGTGTTTACTTCGAGTATATAGGGAGCAATCGTGAAGTTATCTGAGATCGACACTGAACCAGGGAAACCAGTGACTCATCGCATGAACGATGAACCACGCCAACGGGTTTACAACGCCAGGCCATAAGGCAGAGCCCAATCACCCAATGCCCATTTACGCCGGCCTTTACGACATTTTCGTGTAAACGTGATTGGACCGGGAGACAAGCACGTATTTACGAGTGACCGAAACATATTTACACGGAGACAGGGACACATACTTCGAACTGACTTCCACATTAAGCCAATATCATTACCTAAAATACAGTTCAATCTGCCCAAATCACTACCTCCTTCACAATCCCACCCAACCGTATCCACTCTCAACACAAGCCATTAGCAACCATGGGTTGATATGCTAACATTTGAAAAGGGTTTGACAGGTTTTTGATCAGATAATGACACTATGGTTACGGAACGCGAACACGTTCAATAACCTTAATGGAGGACAGATAGCTTAAACACTCTGAGCACAATCAGTTGATGAAACGTATTGCCTTAGGTGTTTTCCGACCTTAGGTATAAAGTATTTATTGTTCCATTTCAGTGCACCATTTATTGATAATGTTGCGAGTTATTTTGTGAAATCCCTCTGTCGATAACGTGGCACTCATGCTAAATATGTATTATTTTTGTTGTCATTGTTATATAAATCTATTATCATGAATCTTTTGTATATGCTTTTAATACAGCGTAGTTATATATGTGTCTCGTGAGTATTTGTCTGGTGGCGGAGTAGAACGGGCGATGTGGGTAGCCTGGTGGTTAAAGCGTTCGCTCGTCACACCGAAGACCCGGGTTCGATTCCCGATGTGGGTACAACCTATGAAGCCCATTTCTTGTGTTCCCAGCTGTGATATTGTTGGAAGTTTTGCTAAAAGCGGCGTAACACTATACTCAAAAGACATTATATACTTGCTGAGCATGAGTTACCGTATGCCCTCTAATAGATTCGCCAAAGTAGGAGAATATACGGGCTAATCATAAGAATTTGATCCCAATTACTTTTGTGCTCAAGTAAAACAGACAGTGGATTTGGAAACCACATATATAATAAACAGTAACTTAACATACGATGTATGAGATGGTAGTTTGGCTGTTAAGATTCAGATACTCACCTGAGGGCTGTGAATGAAATCACAAGTGCACACCATTGACCGTATCATTATTTTTATTATCATTATGATGAGCATTATTATATATAAGTATCCAGTGATATACGTTAGGGCGACATTTACAGGAAGTACAGTATGCCAACTGGCAAGTCATCAGATGTCGAGTTACTTAGTTGTCCTGTTACATCACGACGTTCTGTGACTAACTGAGCCCTGACCAGCAGAACTAGTGGTTAACGGCATGAACAATCCTTGCCATATCGGTACGATGACACACAATCGTTACCACCGACAAACACGGCGTGGTTGGGAAGTTGTGTACCCTAGGGAGTGGGGATGTAGGTGCTATGCTGCACTATTCCATTCAGTAAGTGAGTGAATTTTGTTTTACGCCGCACTCAGCAATACTCCAGCTATATGACCGCGGTCTGTAAATATTCGAGCCTGGACCAGACAATCAAGTGATCAACAGCATGAGCATCGGTCTACGCAATTGGGATACGATGACATGTGTCAACAAAGTCAGCGAGCCTGACCACCGATCCCGTTAGTCGCCTCTTACGACAAGCATGGGTTACTGAAGATCAATTCTAACCCGTATCTTCACGGGTTCATATTCCAATCAAATGGACAAACATATGCTCTTCTGGAGATGTGATATGATTATGTGTCATCATACCAGGCTACGTTGACTACATGCTAAAATTCAACCGTTAGTTCTAAAGTCCACCTTCAATCATTTACTGGCTGCAATTCGATTCTGGCGTAGAAATATCTCATTACAGACCCTGTCTCCCTACAACCTGTACAAATGTTTTTAGCATTTGATTTACCTGTGCTTTATGTACGTCCCTACTCAGGTAGACAGCACCAAAATGCCAAAGGTGGAACCTATCACTTTGCCAATGATGAAGACTCTGCAGCAACCTGTCTCTTCAGATGTTTAACTGAAACACTCTTTGAAACATCTGATAGGTGTAACCCAATTCTAAATGGATCATGCCGGTGAGTTTAGAGTTTTATGGTTGCTATGGCAACGTGATGAAAGGTCATGTGTTAAAGTCAATCCGGTTAGAAGCACATAAACAACCAGGGAGAATATTTACCGGATCGCACACAACGCAGTGAACGAATGCCGCATTGCATGAGAAATCGTCATAAGAAAAAAAAGTGAAAAAAAGCAAACACATCATTCTTAGGTTGGTTGTATAATTTGGTATAATCAGACAAAACAACGTTTAACATTTAATCTAAGGATTGACAAATCATAGACATACGAACAAAAAACATACGAATATAACTTCTCCAGCCAAACACGTGAGGACTTACTAGTGGGAATTTCAAGTTACAACTCTGGTTACCTTTATCAATAATGTTACACTACCCCATCAGGAGATTTATATACACTGACTAATCATATAACCAAGCTTATTGCTTTTCTGGAATGGTCATCATATTGAAAAGGATGAAGCGGTGTCCATCAACATGTTATAAAATGTAATGAAGATGAAATACTCAGCCAGATATCTGTGTCGGATCAAGTAGATGAAATTTAAACTGATTAGTTTGTCTGTCTCTTGCCTTTACTCCCGATAGCAATGTCAGTACGTGGATGAACAAGCTCATCAGATGTTGAGGCTGTACAACACTGTATATTCCCCATTGATGGCAGTCGTTGATAAGTCAACAACTCTCCATCAGGCTAGGGTTATATGAATGTACTTGTGTATAAGACAACACATTCATATTTGTTCTATGTTATTTTTTTGTGTGAAATGGTTCAGGTTCTTACTTTACAAGTAAAATTCATTATACGACAGACCCTTAGTTGACATTTGTTACTTTAGTTACCAATTATTGCAAAACCTACTACTAAAAAAAAAGTACTTTACATTAACCGTTAATAACAGATATAGTTATTTTGAATTAGCAAATGGCTTTTGAGCGTGGTTCGCTAGCAAATTATCGTCCATCTCAAAATAGAAAACATGAATTTTATTCACCCGCTCACCTGCTTGAATACAAAGGGAGATAAATAACGGAACTGTCCTCATATAATTATTAATAATATAATTTAATGTGCTATGCACGATTCGTTTTTCGGTTGTCGTTATTCCTAATGTGACTATGCTTTGAATTCTAAAACAATATCTAAATATTATATACTGTTTTACGGTAGACGTAAAATAACCATATTTTGTTATTTATGCATGGTTTTGCAATAATATGCGTAATCTAGCTTTGTGTTGTTATTTACACAGAAAGTACCAAAACCTTGTGTGAAACAGTTTACGATGTGTAAGACAAAGAGGTCGGTGGGGTGGCCAAGTGGTTAAAGCGTTCGAGCCAGGTTCCATTTACCGGATGGACAGAAAATGTGAAGCCCATTTCTGGTGTCCTGTATCTTGATGTTGATGGACTATTGCTACAAGCGGCGTAAAACATAACTCACTCACTCGTAATGCGACAATACATTGGGTGCATATCTTGATAATGAAGTGCTTTAATCCTACTAACTTACAAACTTCATGATTTCTAGTACACACCAATCACTTCCCGTGCTTTATCGATCTGTTCACTTTTGGAATAATCCCAATCAACAAGTCAATAAATCATGAACTCAAATAATTACTCCAAACACTGCGGCCTGGATTAGTGACGCGTGCTAACAACACGATGCCACATATTAGCAACGAAAGTAGCCACTCCGAGAGAGCTAAAGACTAAATTGACTATCGTGACAGTCGGATACGGCAGTCCTCTCAGCTGATTAAGGCTAGAACTCGAACGTGGGGTCGCAGGAACTCTGTCTTGCCTCTTAAATCTCCTTCCATCGTTCTATTTTGGCGACACATAAAAACTTCTTTATCACACCCATGCCGTGGAAGATCTAACCTCAAGTCACGTGCTCTAAAAAGCCAATTAATTACAGCATACAGACAGACCTAAGCTCACCTTTAATTTCAATCGTTCTACTCTCGAGATGGAAGCGGCTTCAAATAGCGCCAGTGATTTTCCGAACATTTAAACATTCTCAATAATCGCTCGCGCGGCTAACGGAAACTTGACACAGGGTTCAGTGAAATAATTAGGTCTGTGCACCAAGAACATCCTCTGATCATATTTAAAGGGATATGTAATTACGTTAACATCCGCGTGGGTCGCGTGGACAGGCCGTCGCGAGGCAATATTGAGCTTCTTATTTCTGAAACACTAACTGTTCCAGTTGGCCAGAGTCAGCATCGGCGGAGCAAGGGATTGTGAGAGTGTATTAGTATTTCATGAAGCACTAAAGCATACAAACGTCTTGAATAATTTCCAGAGACACACAAAGAGAGGAGGAGATTCTAAAAATAGTTCCTGCTTTTTTTTCTCACCCAAGCGCGATGCCGGGATGAAGTGAAGTTCATAGCCTGGAACAGATGTTGGTTGTTCGCCTTGCTGTATGAAGCGAGGATGTGAGACTGGATAAACTATAGCAGCCCCACCATGGTCAGTTTCCTCAATGACCAGTCGGCTTTACCGTTCATTCTGTCATTCTTGGTCGTGGCTCAAGCACATGAACACTTTGTATGTAAGGACGAGTGCTACAATATACAGGTAAGTCATGTTATTTGCGTGTTTACCTGTGTAAATGATGTGTTGTCATTGATGACATGTGCCATTTAACTAAAATTCATATGTAGTCGTCGTAATGATGATGTAACCTGTAGTTCCAAATGCAGCAGAGTTGCTTATTAACCTAAGCTATTATTTGCCCATTATAACCATAATCACTTAATTGACACGTTGCGGAAGGCGTAATCGCTTCGTCAATTGTCCGTCTATTAATCACAACACGCTTGTACGCTCTCCGTGTCGTCATGGTGTGAGGGTAATTGTGTGTCGTGTGTTGCTCTTGACTATGAATGAGTTTGTTACGTGCAAATATACTGTATATACTGGAGTACTCAATAGTCTATAACCTCACATTTAACTGACGTTACAGTTTTAAATTGTCATACATAGCTTTATCTGTCAATCAGTTTGTTTTGCGATTTGCATACCGAGACATACATCCCTAGATACGTTCAACTCTCGCTCCGATGGAAATCTATACTTCTACTTGTCATATTAACTGTAAATCTATCCCCATTTCCGTTAGCCTCACTGACAAGTTATCAAGAGAGAATATCACATTTCTATACCATGTGGTTCTCGCTGTGGAACTAAACCCTAACCTTTGATCTCGGTAGGTCACAGATAGTGTTTTCCATGTTACCAGTCATAATTCATAAAGATTTCTTATATCAGTGACATGTACATGTAATAATATTGCAGATTGAAAAGCAAATTAAAACATGAAATAGATACTTCATATAATTATCCTTTATACATTCAGTTTTAAGGGCGATATCATATATTTTGGCTATTTTATTTCAGTGCAGTATGTTAATATGGTAAGACATATAACACGATCAAAAGAGAAATGCATATTGTTTAATGCCGCAGTTTGTATTTATATTTTAACTCCACAAACAGTAATATTTCAATATCACGGTGACGTGTTAATATTCGCGTTTGGACCAGACAATTCATTGATTATATCCACACATCAATCTTTTTACGACAGGTTTATCTGTCAATTACGTCTATCTCAAAATCGAAAGGGATCCAGTAAACATAAAATGACTATTTATCACAATCATAATAACAAAAACGGTCATTTCAATAATTTTATAGGTCATGGTTAATTCATCTACTATATGAAAACGTCCATCAACCGTCATTATCATTTAGAATACGGAAAATTAGACGCTGCAAATCCTGGGTGAACACAGTGTATTGACGGTAGTTTTAACATGCATGATCCCAGACATAACATTTCTGTGTGAAGAAGCAACACCTTGTACAACACGACAACCAGGATCCCAAGTTGCTATAATGATTACCTAAGAGTCACAGCGTGCAGTAGCGAGCTATAAATATAAGCATCACAGCTCGTTTATTGGTTTGTGTTTGTATATATTGGAATTAAACACGAAACGCCTGTTATGTTTACCAGGCGATAATTACCACACGAGTGCAAGCATATTTTACATGTACATACTGTGTTGTTAAAGTGATCAAATGCTTATAAGTATGAGTTTAGCATATACAGAATGTGTTGTTGGAAGTAGACTGCATTCCTAAATGTACCAATTGTTTCCAGACATTGTTTTAGCATCTTCAGACAGGGGATCTGAGTTTTAACCAATAGTACATGTGAGCTACGTATATGTCTTATACGCTGTATGTATTAGCCTTGCTCCAAGGCTGTACTGAATGCTGAACCCATATGGATGTATAGTAATTCTATCATTCGAAGAGACAAGTCTAGATAAGCGAAGGACACCAGTCTGTTGTCTAATATTTTTTTAGAAATTATCATGTAAGCTATCAATCTTTACCTTAGAGGCTTGTCCAAGTCTATGCATATATGGACATGTTATGGAAACTCCCTACAATTATGTAAAATATATAAAGAAGCCGAAAATTAATTTAATAAATACCAGCAAGATAAAATTTATCCGATTTAATATGTAAAACGAGAGTACAAAAGGCTTCCCAGAATGGCAATTTGATGCTAATCTGAACGTACTTCAACATGTCTGTTACAAACAGCCGCCAGCTCTTTCGTTTTGGGGGCATCACGCCACATGATGCTGAAGCGAATTCATAAACATTAATCCATCAACATCACCAGCCGTCCCACATCAGGCCAGCATGTCTACAGACGTGGTGCTCGTCCTTTATAGTAAACACACGCATCCACTGATTACTCGTATAATGCAAGACGTGCGCTTATTTACAGAAGGATATGGGATTTTATGCGTAACTATGGAAATGCGATATTGCTTATCACGAACAGACAGGGCTGTTTCAAATAACATCGGCCCTTTCTCTAAGAGTTATGAGCGTTTGTTTATTAAAGATAATCCGTGGAGGTGTATTCCTGTAACTAGCATATGTTGCTTGAGAGCATGATACAGGCGTGTTGCAAGGTGCACGCTACGACCCCTTCTCTTGGGACAACTCAAACTGTAAATAATGGATTATGTTCTGGAGTAGGTATTGCCATGCGGTATCTGATGATGCATGATTGATGTAAATACCCGCATCAGTGTATATATATAGCTGATGTTGCAGGTATGTGAGATCACGGTATTCATTGTCTTCAACAAATAATGGTTGCTTTACTAAAATAGAGAAGCTTTAGCGAACTCTCTCAACACCGTCTGACGTTTGTATTTCAGACGTTCTAATCAGCAAAGTTTCTGCGTGTATTTGGAATCAATATCTTCTATATTAACCTGTCAGATCGATCGTAAAATGTGTCAAGCTAGTTCACTTTTATGATTTATTGTATAAAGAAAAAAATATAATCCTTATATAATGGCACTGTGTGAACCTCGAAGAATTAGATCCCACCAATCTATGCTGTCGTGAGCGCTGACTGGTTCAAGTGGTTCAGTGACTCGGTTCATCGCGTGCCCTCGTATTCCCAACATTGTTGATTGTTGCTCCGCCAAACAATCACTGGATTGTCGGGTCGAGACGCGATTACACCTCGCTGTATAATAGCCGGAATATTACAACAGTGTAGCGTTAACCAACGTATGAACAAACAAACCATAGTGTGTATTGTTATTAGTTTTAGTAAAGCTAATCATTCAGTCATGCATGACCTGCGATACAGGAATATAATATATATGGAATATATTATTTTTTTTTGAATTTGTATATGCCCAATGGTAATACAAGGCATTTCATATGTGCATAATTCAAAAACATAATATGTATCAACCATGAAATTACAGCTGTTTAAAATGGTAAATAACATGCATAACATGTACATAAAACTATATATATGATCATGGTACTTGCAATAAACTATTGCAATTCGACTTTTGTAAACTTATAGCCTTATTTGTAAATATTGAGAAACGACCTTTTCAGATCAATTATATGAGTGGAAATACACCAGAAGCCTGATATAGGCTTGTCCAAATATTGACAAGTGTGACATAAAACTGAAATATAACATTTTCCAATGCGTTAAATGTAACATCACACTGACGTTAATTGGAAACGGGAACTCTTTTTATGTCGATCAAAGGCAGTAATTTGACACGAATGATATTGCACATTATACAGCTGACATCCATTTCCAACACCTGTGATGTGGACGTCATATTTCATTATACTATTGTAAGGATCGATAACATCAAACGAACCTTGCTGTCAACGAAGAGTGGTGTCACACAATGTCATGATCATGTCACGTGTGTGTGTCATATCTTATAAAGCTTTGACATAAAACACATTTATGTATTGTGATTAACTTTTTCCGAAAATCAGAACGGGTCAAAACATGGTTAATGCAAGTCTTTAGAATGAAAATGCAAAAATAAATAAATTGATTTCAACTGAAGATGTTTTCCACACTATGTCCAATTTCTGAAGTCGTCAGGAAACGTTTAGAGAAAATGCAATTGATTTAATATGAATGGCTAGGCATGATGTGTACTGCATGATAAATTTGAGGTTTAAAGGCAGACAGGTCTCTTTGACACAGACGTTTTGTTGAAGATTAAAATGAGTATCGCATGGACACAATGGTAAATTTGTGACATCATACCTAATGCCGAGTATCCATATCTCTATCAACTACCGGTTTTCCCAGTCAAAACCTGACAGTCACCATCTGTGTGATACTGAAGTCAACGATGCAGTTTTTCTCATACCGAATACATGCTTCGAAACACGAATGCCCCAATGAAAAGCCTGGTTCGAACCACAACAAACTGCTAATTTCACGCAAGTGCACACCAGATATATCGTATTACATACTCTAATGTTAGATCCTAGAAACATATGTGGTGTCTCCATAATCCCATGCTGTCATTCATGTGTGGTGTTAGGACTCGTAGGCACATCATCAACAGTTGACGTAACATAATCTTACAAAGAGATTCGAACATCGCTACATGTAAAGCCTGTCTCAAGACCACAGAGACAAAATGAAATAGGTGCCCTACTCAAGTGTAGAATGATTTGGCAAAGTAACAATTCTTACCGTTTGTAGATAAATATATCTTTAAATATGTTTTTATATAAAAAGACATGTATATTTAAATACGATAAGTACATGTCAGTCTACTAAATGCATTTCGGTAAGGATGAATGTGAAACCATTAAATGATCGCTACTTTTTCATTTGCAATTGCCAGTTTATTAAATGTGCAATTTCAGCTTTCATATCACGCTCTGTTTAGACCTAGAGTGTGTGTGTGAGTGAGTGAGTGGTGTTCAACGCTGCTTTGATCAGTTGTCCCATAATATCATGGGTTTCAGCGCTGTAGGAGGAAAACCAAGTGAAGACGTGTCAGACATTTACCAATTTGGGGAACCAACGGGCACGTGTATGGTGCTGACATGCCAAGAAACATAATCAGAACCAGCTTCGGATCCACGATCAAAGTATTCTGGCGTGCCCAAGGGAGGCTAGTTAGATGACTGTGGAACCTGTGACCTCATTTAGATCTGGCAAGTTTATGAGCTTTGTCAACTCTTAATAA